TTGTTATCATGCATACTGCTTGAAGAAAAACAATCTGAGGACTTTATACTTTCATCTTTATACACTCACATTTTTCTCATTAAAAATTGGAAAAATGGCTAAAGAGACAGCACAAGTCTTTGAGAACATTTCTGTAGGTAACATTAACCTAACTCCAAGTTTTGTCCACCATACTTGTGCAAAGACAAAACAAGTACACTCTCTGACAGAATGAATGCAGTGTGCCATTTACTGAGTGTTCTCTTTTCAAAAGTGGTTAATACGTAACCAGTGAAATGTCCTTCACTGAATTACGGTCAGGAACTACACGTAGCCCACTCTTCTCAAAGTGAACTAAGCATAACAATTGGTACCATTGCAGAAGCTATTTTCAGTCCCTGGCAGAATTACAGGAACACAAATAAAACTTTTTTTCTTATTTATTTTTACTAAGCCCATGTAACTTCCTAATTCTATTATTTCTCACTTCCAAATATTTCACCATCATTCTTAACACCATGTCTCTTCCCGTATTTTGCTTCTTAACTTTCTTTTCCATGAGCTGCCTTTCTTTCTCTTCTCTCTTACCCCTTTACTTCAGCTTTCTAGCAGTAATTATTTTCTAAACACTTCAACTTGTAAACAACGTATCCTGCTTATTTTTCTGTCAAGGACTCATTACTCAGGTAACTTAACTTTCTTTATTTGGATGCCATTTCTAAATCAAAGCTCAGAAGACAGATAGGAAATAGATGTTCTCTTTCACTATACAATAAGGCTTACAGTTTTTTGCAGCTCTGTTATGCTCAGCATCTTGAGTAAAACCATCTCACAAACTGATAACACAGGTACTATTATCCCCATATTTCCTGGTGAGGTGCTGAGGCTCAGAGCAGTTAACACAGGGTTATCTAGGACCACATGGCTGAGTCAGAACTAAGCCTTGGGTGTCCTAACAACATTCGTTTCCCATCTAAAGCTCATTTTTTTTCACTGTTCCCGAGAGAGCTCTGTCTTGGAAAAGGGAGAGTTTTAGGCAAAATCTTCCCTAGTTTATGATTCTACAGAAGTGTTGTCACTTCACCTGAGGCTAATTCCTCAATCCACTTTTATTTTTTAAAGATTTGTTTATTTATACAAGAACCAGGGTACAGGCCAGATGTGCGGGAGGGTGAGAGGATTCACCAGAGACAGAGTGGGGAACAGAACAGGCAGACTGATGAAATAAATACACTGCTGAGGGAAGTAGCAGGCACAACAGGAGAGGTCTGCTGTGCCATGTTGGACCCTCGCCGGCCGGGATCAAACCAGCGCTGCAGAGGCTGCAGAAGGCTTCACATTGTGGCACTCAACTGCCTGCATCACCAGGGGAAGCCCTCAATCCACTTTTTTAATACATCTAATTATGCATCCTATGAATCTTCTCTCTTGGGATTACCATTCTTTATGCTACAATGTTCAGCCTTTCCCTTCTTATTTGTCTCTCCTACTCTCAGCATTTACAAAGCAACATTTCCTTTAAACTTGTTCAATTCTCTCTCCTCTTGAAGAAACCTTTCCCTCACCCCAACTCTATGCCAAGTTCTGCCCTATCTTCTCCACTCCAAACTCTGGGGAGCTGGCTCCAACTCCTCACATTCCCTTGTTCCTTCACAAGTTGCAATCAGGCTTCTGTCCAACCTACACACTAAAACAGCTGGATTCCAATGTCCTCCTTGTTCCAATCCAGCTGAAAAATATTATCAATTTGTTATTTGATTTCTCTATGACATCTGACATGTGTGGCCAGAAATTTAGCAAAAGCAATATTTACAGGTCATCTCAGTAATTTATGATGTGGCACCAAATGCAGGCTATTAACCCTTGTTCCTCTTGCTTAAAGTAATTAATCTTACAAATAAATGCTCAGTTATTCCTAGTTTCTTAAAAACAATTTAAGTTTGGTTACATTTTGAATCAACACATTATAAAATCATGCAAACTTGGAATGATTTTTTTAAATTTTGTATGCTGTTAACATCAATTGACATTAACTAGTCAATTACTCTGACTAGTAAATATCTTCTCTTAACCTCTTAAAATTCTCCTCTATACTAACTGTGCTTTTGCTCTGGCCGTATTTTTCATTTAGGTGCTCCTGACCAATGCCTAGCTCCTTTCTCTTTACATCAACATACCATACAAGGGCATTCATCCTTTTCCACAGCATCAGCTCTACCTAATAAATTAATAAATCTCTAACTTATATAAATAGGCCAGATCTCTGTAAACTAGCATTGTCCAAATTGCTTTAACTTTGACCTAACAATGAGAATTTTTTTGTTTTCATTTGTCAGTTCACAATGTAACACTGAAATTACATTTTCACAATGAAACTTTTACATTTTGACCTGGAACACTCATAGTTAAGGACAAAGAAGATGTTGATAGAGAGTGTGAGAAAGGAAGAGAAATGACGTTAGTTGGGACAGAAGTTTTAGTGCTCTAACAAAGAGATCTCAAAATGCAATGGCTTAAATAAATTATTTCTCTCTCACATGAAAGTTCAGGCTGTAGTGACCTTTGGATGATTCAGGGACTCAGACTATATCCTGTTTGTTGTTCTGTCTTCCTTTATTCATTGTTTCCTTTTTATGGACTACAATAGCAGCTCTGACTACAGTCACTGCATGCACACTGCAGCCAGTGGTAAGGAAGAAAATGGTAGCATAGAACCTAACCCTTCTTTTCAAAATCATGAACTGAAAGTTGCATAAATCAGTTCCACTCACACCCCAACCCCATAATTTAATCATTTGCCATACATATCAAACTTCAAGGGAGAGGCTAGGAAACAAAAATTTTAGCTAGGCAATTTGTGCTAAATTAAAACTCAGGAGTTCTCTTATTAAACATAGAATTGAGAAGCGGTAAGAGGATATAACCAACAGTTATGACTACTTACGTATGAAACAGATGTTTCTCAAATCACAAATATTCTTTTTCGTATTGTATTTTCTATTATATTCTATTTCATATTTTACAATTCTGTTTATGACTTATACTGATCATGATATCATAACTTACTATATATATAAATGGTGACCCATAATTTGAAAAATATTGCTCTAACCCTACTATGGCAAACATGGTAGCCAGTAGCAACATGGGGCTATTGAGCATTTGAAATATGATGGTTGAAATTGATAGGTGTTATCAGTGTAGAATCCACACTAGACTGTACTTAGTACAAAAGAAAAACATAAAGTATCTCATTAACAAGTTTTATATTGCTCAAATGCTGAAGTGGTAATAGTGTGTATATATTCAGTCAAGTAAAATGCACTATTAAAATTAATACAATTTTTTTAACATGGCTATTGGAAATTTTAAAATTACATAGGAGGCTCACACTATATTTCTATTGGACCGTGCTGCTCTAAGCTTTAATTCAAATGTTAAACTCCCTATGAATGTAGGTACTTGAATATCCCTCAAGCTCTTTCTAAAATTAGACTATTTACCTTTGCTACCCTCAGCCCTTTTGTTTCTTTCTGTTCCCATCTTGTGTTTCTTCTGTTTCATTTAATCAGTTAAAGGCAATATAATTCACTCAGCAACCAGCCAGGAAAACTGAAAGCACATTTTCATTTATCCATCACATTCATGTATTCTTTTGTACTATGTTATTTTATCCCTTAAACATGGTAGAAACCAATCTTGTTATGAATACCTTAGTTCAAAATACGATCTCTCTCCTATCTAAATCTCTCACCTATATAATAGTAGAAGTTCCCAAGTGGTGTCCCTGCCTTCTGGACTGCCTCCTTCCAGTTGGTCTTCCAAATTTCAGTGATTGATCTTTCCAGGAAACCAATCGGAGGAAATCACTCCACTGATTATTCCCAAACACCTCAATAGTACCAACAAGTTCCCTTTTGCATTGAAGCCAGTTTGCTCCCCCACTCTTCTCAGTGGAAAGGCAATTTCTCCATCCCAAGTCTGTATTACATGCCCTGCTTATGTGCTCACAGAGTATCTTCAACTTCTCTGACAATGTTTTACTACTATTGTTATTGCTTATTTATTTGCTTTCACAGTCACAAGAATGTAAGACATTTTTTAGTGCATATCTACTTATTTTACCATTCTATTTCTATGATTTTTTTCATGTTACTGAGCCCTTCTAAGTTCAATAAATACCTATAAAACAACCAAATCATTGGATGGATGGATGGATGGATGGATGGATGGATGGATGGATGGATGGACGGACGGACGGTTGGATGAAATAGCTTATATGATTTAAAGACTGCTGAAGAGGAGCATCTCTAGAAGGTAGTAATGAAATCTGGTACAGTAGATGGTAAAGGTAATTGAGATCTTTGTTAGGCACTATAGATTAAAAGGTCAAGGTTTTTTGGTTTTGGTTTTCGTTTTGTTTTTTTCAGTCTTACTATTTCTCCTCCCATAGTTACACTTTCTTAATACAGGAAGATTATTTTCTATCATCATCTTCCAAGGCCTGGCTCTTTATCTGCAATCCAGTAATATACCTAAGGTCAAAAACCTATTATTTAATCCAGTATCATTTCCATAGAGGATGACTGAATTCAGAAACTGCATCAATACTTAAGATAGACATATCTAACAGAGGACTTGCAGGCACAGAACTTGTAGTGAAATACCTATTTAGAGCCTGGTCAGTGTTACTTAACTTGCTACTTAACTTGCCTTGCCAACTATTCATGCAAGAGATGTGAGGAGTGCCATAAAAAGCACTGTGGGGAAATGGAGGGAGGAAGAGAGAAGGGATTGAAAAGCAGATTAGCAGCTTTACAGCAAAACCCAGAGAAAGAGCAGTAACAGGAATGTGGGTTTTACCACTCCAGGAATTCTATTTAGCCCCTGAGTGCAATGACCCCCAGACCCTTAGAGACTTCTACTTTGTTTAGACACCTTGTGTGGGTGGAACTTCCTGTTTGCACAGAGAGAAGCATAAAGCCTAGTTGCTCTGAGGGGTATTTGGGACCAGAGGAATTACAGGGAGTAGGGTACATACAGTCTGGTCTCCTGAGGTTCCTTCTCCCTGCAGCATGGGGAAGAACAAACTCCTTCATCCAAGTGTTATTCTACTCCTTCTGGTTCTCCTGCCTAAAGATGCCTCAGTCTCTGGAAAACCGTAAGTTTCACATATTCAGCATAAACTTCAGAATTCTTTGCTTTGTTCCAGATTCTTCTTTACATCATTCATTTGCCTTTCCTATGAAATAGTCACCTTCTTATCTCAAAGGTCTCATCCAACTATGAGATTTTTGTAAATCTGGCTTATTTATCCTTCTCTTATTCTTAACCATTTTTCTCCAACTCTCTGGATCTCTGAATTTCTCTAAATGAGCTGAGGAACACAGAAAGTGTTTTAAAGGGCATTGTAAATTGATATTTTTAAAGGAATTGATTTAAAGATCCTCACATTCATTATGATCTGCTTGAGATCATGCTATTTAGTCTTCTTATCTCCCTTTCTTAATCTGCTATCTTCTATTTTATAAGAGAGACAAACCTTTCCCTCAAGCAGATAATACCATGTCATAGTACTGGAGCATAAAAACCTCCTGGTGCCAAATAAAAGAACAATTTGAAATGCTTATGGTATGGTTGAGAAAACAAAGAAATCATGAAAGGACAGAAAGTCCTTTCCCAAATCATGTGGTGATGAATTCTTTGTTTCAACAAAACTGAAGGAAGATCTCAAGGAAATATCAGTTGATGGATGATTAGGAGCAATTCTTGATTACAGGACCCTGGTGATTTTGGGCATGAAATGAAGGAGTTACAAGATATAGTAATTATTTTACCTGTCATTTATCTACTTTTATGTAAACAACTTTTTGGCACTTACATATAAACAAACCAAATACAGTAACAGTACTGATGTTAGATCTTATTTCTTTCTTGCAATAAGTAATATCCATCCATGAATACAAAAATAGCTCCTCATTCTCATTAAAGATGTACTTCAAAAAGTATTTTGATTTTACATCATATATATGAATCCTAACTTGTAATATACTTATATTGTTTTGATCATTTGTGTACTAGTAAGACTTTTGAAAATAAGTCAATCCACAAGAAAATATTTAACATTTACAACTTCAAGGTTGCATTAAATTTGAAAGTGTTAAAGCTAAATTTATATACCTACATATATTACCTATATGTGTGTACATATACTTATCTGTGATTCTTAATAAAGAAGCACAAGTGATCCATAAAGTATTTTGAAGCTTAAAAATCTTAGGATAAATTTATGTGTGGTAAATATCACTGAAATTTAGATTCAAGGAAGAAAAGGGGTAAGATGTTAAATTTCTGAATATTACACAAAAAGAACATTTAGATGTATTTTTAAAGGTCATATTGGTTACCTTATCATTATGTTACTTAAGATTTCATCAGAAATTTATAAAACAGTAACCTGTTTTAAATTGAAATATTAAAATAATATCTTTGCTATTATTTAAATTTGTGATAAGAGATACTTATTTGAAAACATGTAAGTAGTGCATAGTCTAAAACTGATTTTAGGAGTTCTGTTTGAAAACCACAGTGTTAGTAAAACTATATATGAGGTATTGGAACAGTTTCTGTTCTGCTCATGAGTTAATTAGACCCAAAATTCAATCACTAGGAGATAAGTTTTGGGTGAGATTACTGTCTAATCAGGAGCTGAAAGGCAAATATTTACAATGCAAACATCCAGGGTTATGTAACATACTAAGATTCCATTAATTAGTTGCTTACCATAACTGAGACTTTAACCTAATGACTCACTATTTTGAAATCTCAGAATCTGTATCTGTAAAATGGAAGCAATGAAAGTTTTATAAACTGATTGGTTTTTGTAGTATCGCACCTGAGTGAGAGCTTGCTTGCTTTTAACAGCAATCCATGTGTAAAATACATTTACAACATGAATTATTATAACTAGCATACTTAAAGTCAGATGTTCCCACATTTGGGTTCCTTAAAAGTGAGATGTAGTTGTAAATTTCAATCTATTTCAGGCTCACATCAAGTAAAATGTTCACTGTCCTGGCACTGATGATAGAAAGGGGAAGAATTCTCACACATGACATTCAACAGCAGAGGTCAATGTCATGCTCATCAATGTCTTCTTTTAGGACAGAACTAACTAGAGTGTAATAATGTGATGGAGTATAATGCTGCAGGTAGCAATGTCTCGTCTCCTACGCTCCCCACTAACTGGACTCTCCCAACCAGACAGTACATGGTGTTGGTCCCCTCTCTGCTCCACGCCGGGACCCCTGAAAAGGGCTGCCTCCTGCTGAGCCACCTGAATGAGACGGTGACTGTAAGTGCTTCCTTGGAGTCTGTCAGGGAGAACAGGAGCCTCTTCACTGACGTGGTGGCAGAGAAGGACTTATTCCACTGTGTTTCTTTTACTGTGAGTATGACAGTTTGACTCAGTACTTTTGTTTCTATTGGTCAGGGTCATAAGGATCTAGAATTCAGTCAAGATAAGGCTTTGAGAGGCTGGCAAGGACTTTAGGAAAAAAAATTAAATGCATTGACTAAATAATTAAATTAAGAAGCAAGGCATGAAATTCCAATCATGGGAACTAAATATTTATAGACATACTAAAAATCAACTTAATGATCAAAGAAATTCCTATTAGCCAGAAAAAAAAAAAAAGCCATGTATACTACTCAAAGAGAAAATATTACATTTCCTTAAAATTAAAATAGAAAAAAATAGTAATAGCAAACTAGGCCAATACTCAACATAAGCCCCCTATGGTAATCTGACACATCACCCTATACTGTAAGTGTGAAATCTAGAAATTACCTTGGGTAAATATCTAATATCTCTTGAAAGCTGCCCATAGGTAAAATCCTTACAGTCAATAAATTATTACAGTTTTCTTTCTTACCACCTTAATATCTTAATATGCTTCTACCAAACACATTTGGGACATAACATAATTAAATCAAAATTTATATATAAATGTAATATTATATATTTTTTCATAATTTAGCATATAATGTAACTGAATTTTCTGACCTATAAGGAGATGTGAGTCTCATTTATGACCTCTCTTACTGATGTAACTTTCCTCTATCTTATGTTCTGCTTCTCCATTTGTAAAATGACAATTTATTTTAGCCATACCAATTTTCCCTGATGAGAAAGAGGGAGTGAATTTATATACATAAAAACTACAGGGGCAAGACATCCTGGAAGAAGTGGTAGAGGGGTTGGGGAGGAAGCCTGAGAGGCTGAATGGGCTCTCAGGATCCCTCCTGTATTTCAGGTCCCAACATCTTCATCCAGTGAGGAGGCAATGTTCCTCACTATACAAGTGAAAGGACCAACTCAAGAATTCAAGAGGCGGACCATAGTGGTGGTAACAAACAAAGAGAATCTGGTCTTTGTCCAGACAGACAAACCCATCTACAAACCAGAGCAGACAGGTAAGAAGAGGCCTACAGTAAGGACAACTTCAAAAAGGAAAGATCACCCTTCCCTGTATATTCCTCGATCAAAGGCCCTACCATCGTAATTCTTTGATGGTTTTTCTCACCAAGTCTACAGGTCTGTTTAACGTTTTTAGGACTCACGTAAAATATTTCTGTTTCAGTGAAGTTTCGTGTTGTTGTGTTGGATGAAAATTTTCAACCCCTGGATGAGTCGGTAAGTCTTCTGATATCTGCATAGAATCATTATTATGTGCACAAATAGGATGGAAGTCTATTTTTGGTATTGGGGGTAGACCAGGAAGACGAACAATCTGATCTCAATAACAGTAATTTTGGCATCACAGCAGTGCAAGATTCTCATTTAAAACAGTATCCCAAGTCAATATAACACTTAATTATTTTTTAGTATTGGTACTTAGTCAGTTGTCACACAATTAAGCTTTTTGTAAGTTCTCAATTAGACAAATTTAGGAAAATATATGAATAATATATATACCTAAGCCAACAAATAACCTCAAAAATTTTTAGTTTTCCCAAACATATCTACCAAAACCTCTTTTATAAAGGAACATGAGTGTAATAAATCTTTGAATATTTGTTCAAGACTAACACAAAAGTTTTAAGAAAAATAATTCAAGTATATTGCCAACATCAAACCAGTCCTAATTTTCCTCTCCCAAATCTATTCCTCCATCCATTTTCTTATTTCAAAAAGAGGCATTTTTTTTTCTTCCTAGTTCCTATGCAAGAGTTTATGACATAATCCTTGCTTCTCTTTCTCTCACAACCAGTCATTTCACCAGAAAATCATGTTAACTTAAAACATAGCCAGACTATTTCTTATCAAGTATTCTGGCCAAAATCACCTCTAAACCAAACTACTGACTGGATAACTTGAAACTGGTCTCCTAGTTTCCACTTTTACTCCCCTTTCTAAAATTGAACACCTCATTCATGACTCCCCCAGCTTGACCTTGCTTTATTTTATTTCTTGGCACATATTACTACCTGTTAGGGCCTCCCCGGTGGCGCAGCGGTTGAGCGCTGGGTTGCGAAGCTGCCCGCAGTCTCTGTGGCGCCGGTTCGATCCCCGGCTGCTCCCCGGCCACCAGAGGAGGGTCCCACATGGCGCGCAGACCTCTCCTGCCGCCCGCTGCTCCCCTCAGCAGTGTACTTCGGTCCTTCTGCCTGCTCTGCTCCCCGCTCTGGCTCTGGTGAATTCTCTCACCCTCCCGCGCTTCTGACTGTACCCAGTACATGTGCAAACGAACAAATAAATAAATAAATAAAATACATGCCTCTTTAAAAAAAAAAAAAATCTAAACATATTACTACCTGTTAAATTTATATGTATTTCAATTTTATACATATTTCAAATTTGTACATCTCAAACATATAAATAACTCAAATAGATATGTTAAATACATGTCAAACATGTATTTTCATCTATATATCAGATACATGTAAAAATGTATTATCTCATATATATAAAATATATATGTATATGTGCATATATAGGTATTTAATAAATATTAGGTTTCGAATGATTAAACATTGAAATTTTCTTAGAACTACCTAAGAAATCTATAACCAATCTTAATATTTGGATCTGAGCATGGTTATTTATAATTCCATTAACATTTATTTCCAATATTTAAAATTTTCAGAGAAAAGGAATCTTCTTCACTGGGTTGCAGCATTTAAAGAACATCAGTAAATCCCATTCCTAAGAAATGGCAGTGCACATATTAATTTGTTGCCTATGGCCTAATAAGTTTTTAACATTCTATATTAATTGGTTATAATGTATTAATATTACCTGCAAATTCTGTTTTACTACAAGTAGAATTATTTTACATAAACTTGCTTATAAATCAGAATTATGACTATTTGAGGGTAATTCTAAACTCCTTTCCCTTTTGTCTTACAGATTCCACTGGTATACATTGAGGTAAGCAACATGAAAGACATAATTATGATTAAAAGCTATAATTAGACATAAAGCTATAAATTAAGGGGAATTTTTATTTGAGAGATCCTTACAATATCCCAGAAACTTGTCATAGGAAGAAGGCTGCAAACTCATGTGGTGCTAGATGTCACTTCACCACCATCCTCTTTATGAATAACATGAGTTTCTATACATTTCCTTCATTGTCTCTAATTCTCTAAGATCTTTTCTAAGTTACAATAATGTATTCATAGGACCCCAAAGGAAATCGCATCACACAGTGGCAGAACCTCAAGTTAGAGAATGGTCTCAACCAACTGGCCTTTCCTCTCTCATCAGAGCCCTTTCAGGGCTTGTACAAGGTGGTGGTACAGAAGGCATCAGGTGGAAGGACAGAGCACACCTTCACTGTGGAGGAATTTGGTATGGATTATAGAAAAACATGCAACATTTTTCCTTAAACTTCTAGTGCCTAGAATTTGAGCTTATTTGACTTCTTTCAATTTCCCACAGGTGAGATTGGGCTTGGAGTAGAAACAATCCTACCTACTAACCTACTAACCCCAATGAGGACCACCTATTAACTTGTGAATTGAATTTTATATAGTCTGGTTATTTTTTGTAGCAATGTTTACTCTCCACAGAAAGGTAAAACATTCTTATTTTAGTGGGGTCTGTCATATTTCATTAAGGTGACAATGATCTGTCACAATCCCTCAACCAGAATCTCCACTTGAGAATAAGATAAACTATGGGAAAGTACATTACCTTTCAAATTCCTAAAATATTATCTAGGAAATTGTTATAGAGAACCTCAAAATACTAATTCCCCAAAAGTTGAAAACCAATCAGCAGCTTCTTTTATCTCCAATGAACAGTGCTTCCCAAGTTTGAAGTGCAAGTAACAATGCCAAGGATAATCACTATCTTGGAAGAAGAGGTGAATGTGTCAGTGTGTGGCATGTGAGTTTATGTGTTTTTAAATCTTTTAAGAGGAATTATTTAAAGGACATTCACCATTTGGGATATTTTGGCGAATTTGTCCAGGAGCAGTGGCATCACAAATATTTGTGCTGGGCCAAGGTCTCAACTGAGTGGGTGCATTCCACATGTGGTCTGTAGTTGTGACCCCATCTCTAACTTTTTCCCCATCTCTAGAACTTTCCTTTTATGTTGCTTTTTTATTTTTCCTTCTTATTTTCTTCAATGTCTGTAACCAACTTTATTGTAACTATAGTGGGGCAGACAACCGTTGCAAAAGATGCTATGCTGTTAGGATTGATTCTGAACATAACAAAGCCACACAAGCACATACACACACACACACACACACACACACACACACAAAGGTGATAATGATGAAAGATAGTGACTTTCCTATCACCAGGTTGTAGAGAAAAGTCAACCATCCACAGATCATTTACCTCACTTTCACACATGGTAGAAAAATAGCTTATATTCAAATTTGTAGAGATAGGCACTGTATTAAAAGCTCAGTTAACTCATGTTCTACCAAAATCATGTCACATGCCTCTATGCATAGCCATTTGTACTGATGAGATTGGACATTATGTCTCTGTACGATCCTTTTCAACCTTTAAATTACATGTTTTGGGATCTTATGGTCCTGTCTCCAGTTGCCCATCAATAGTAAGAATAGGAGGAGCAGGTAGAGTGAAGAAACCACTCCCACCAAAGAACACATATGGAATGCACCCACTCTTCAGCTGAGTCCTTGGCCTAGCACAATCTCAGAGTAATGGCCACCAAATTCACACTCACACGTAACTGATGGGCTAATACTCTTACAAGCAGAGACAATACAGGGTATTTTTAATAAGGAAGGAAAAAAATTCTTCAAAGAGAAAGCAACTGTCAATGGCATATTTATGACACAATCTGTAAAAAGTAAACAAGTAAAATTTTACATAGTAGAGATGCTACAATGGGGAGAGGATGATGAAAGGAGCAATACCACTGTTTTAATAGTTTGTATTTCTAGGTAGAATTGAGGGTGATTGTTTCTTGTCTTTCTCTGTTGTGCCAGTATTTTTTTCCCCTTAAGAACAGGGTTTAGCTTTGGTAATAATAAAGACTTAATGTGAAAGTGAAAATTACAAATTAAGGGAAAAAAGATCTGATAAATGAAGACTGTAGTAGATTTCAGCATTTATACTTTTTATCACTAATAACCCCAAAAGAGAAGGGTTATTGCTTATTTTACTTGCCCTCAACACTATGTAAGCACTACAAAGGTAATAGGGAAGTATAGAAAGTAAATACACTACAGTTAAAGAATATAAATAGGTAGGAAATGGAGATGTTCAATGTCTTTTTCAATTCATTTGGAAATATTCTTATAACAGATACACATACGGGAAGCCTGTCCCAGGACATGTGACTCTGAACATATGCAGAAAGTACAACAGTCCTTCTAGCTGCTATGGTGGAGAATCACGGGCTATGTGTGAGAAATTTAGTCAGCAGGTAGGTGGGTAACTGACTCCTTCTAGGGACCAACAACAAAGGCGTTAGTGATAAGAACTAAGTTACAACATGGAACTAACCAATTGCTCAGTAAAAGAGCAATCTGTAAGAGAATTCTATACTATAATAGCTATTATAACTTTTTAAAAATCAGTGACTTAAGTCAATAGAAATTATTTCTTATAATTGTTCATTTTGTGTATGATAGAAGTACCTAGAATGATGAGGTTTAGCCATCTCCAATACCTGGCATCCTAAGTCACCCTGGTTGGAAAGGGAGCCAATTTTGTTCTCATTCTATGAGCAAGAACATGTCACATGATCCCACCTACAGATCAGGGAAGTAGATTCCCCAAAGGGGTGACCACTTTGTGGTCATAGTTATATTCTAAGGGAAGGGAGCCAGAATTTGGTGAAGAGTAAGTAACCTTCAAAAATCTCACCACTGATCTGTCACTTCTATGTTTCTGTATTTTATTTTATCATCTCCTAGCTAAATAGCCAGGGCTGTTTCTCTAAGCAAGTGAAAACCAAGATCTTCCAGTTGAAGAAACAAGACTATGAAATGAAACTTGAAGTGGAGGCCAAGATCCAAGAAGAAGGAACAGGTTTGTGTACTGCATGAGTCTGAGAGAAAAAACTAAATAGACACTGATTTATTTCCTTTGCCAAATTATGAAATGGGAGGAGGCAGTATCAGAAGTTCAGGGAGATCATTCTTCCCAAACAAAACGATTTTTTTTTTTTTCAGAGGTGGAATTAATTGGAAGAGGGTCCAGTGAAATAACAAGAACCATAACCAAACTCTCATTTGTGAAAGTGGACTCGCACTTTAGACAAGGGATCCCCTTTTTTGGGCAGGTAAACAGTTTTTCAATTCACAAATCAAACTGTGTATTATCACCTAATGAGTGTAACATATACTGTGTAAAACCATACCTGGTTAATGTTGTCTGTTGATTAATGTAACTAAAAGTATAAAACTACATTTAAAAAATGTTACAGATTTTCCAATTTTCCCACAAGAATCACAAAATCCACAATAGCCACTAATATAATCCTTCTGAAACTTTGTATGAAAATGGGTGGTCAGGTGGCCTTAATTTTTATTTTGAAGTATAAATGCTATACCTAGTGTTTCTTTCATAGATATTATAGTTATGTTACCTTTTCTACAATAGTATTTTAAAAACAGTACACATAAGGTAAAATTCTTTCCCTGATTTTGAAACTATAAATTTTTCTACAAAAATCCTCAATCTTTGTTTTTCTACAAAAATCCTCTATCTTTATTTTTCTATAATAAAGCAGAGATGCAAATGGACCTTTCTGAATCCAGGAATGTGAGATGACAGTTATATGTACCTCAATGTGTAATTACTGTTCATAATGGAAGTGATATAAGATTCAACTGCAGAAAGTGTAGAAGACAGTGAGACCAGACTCGATAAAGAAGTGATGGAGTAAATTTTAGAATGTTTTTATTGTTATGACAACAAATAGATGCAGAAACTTTGGTCACTTCCTAAAATGAAGGTGTAGGTCGTTTTTTTTATTTCTCACAAGTATATTGTACTTTTTAGATAAGATATTCTGCTAAATTTAAACTCTCTCATTACTGTCTCACCAAAAGAGAAGAATCAGAATTGTATGTCTCTCCTTCACGTTGTAAGTGCAGCTCAAAATATCAGATTTTGCTAATTAATTAAAATACTAGTCCAAACTTACCAGTTTTGCTACCTTCTTACCAAAAGTAGCTTACACTGAAAAAGCAGCACCATCTTTACAATCTGGTCTGGACATGCCATCTGCTGAGTTCAGAATTAGCAGTAATTTGACTTTATGCCCTTATCAATACTGTGATTCTTTTCAATTTTACATTTTTTCACATGGAAATTGCCTCAAATATCTGCCTACCTTCCAAAAGGTCAAAAATTTAGGTTGAGAAGCAGCTATTATATATAAAACAAGTAGAGAAGTACACAGAATAACGCATTAACAACTACTGTATGCTTGCATACATAACTTCAGAGTGCTAATCCATACAATCACAGAGTTAAATTTTTCATTTCTGTATGACTTGTGCTTTATGACACTCCAAGAGTTATATTTAATACACACCATTTTCAGTATATCCACAACAATACATTTTGCAGGTCTATTGTTTCCCTATTATTTCCATCACTCTATCCCTTTAAACTGCTTTTTTTCTTCTTAGAACTGATTACTACGAAATAAGTATATATCATTTATGCATTTAGTTAGCAATGACTTCTTTTAATAGACTGTAAACTCTATGATGGAAGGAACTTGTTTTATTCACTGTTACATATCCTCAATGCTTCACACCATATCCAACATACAGGACACATTCCTTAAATATTTGTGATAAAATGAATATGTTTGGTGACTATTAGAGAATATCCATCATACAACTGAGCCACAGCTTTTAATTTTCAGGTGCGCCTAGTGGATGGAAAAGGTATCCCCATGCCAAATAAACTCGTCCTCATCACATCAAACGAAGCAAAGCATAATTCCAATGCTACCACTGACGAGCACGGTCTGGTGCAGTTCTCCATCAATACCACCAAAGTTATGGGTACTTCTCTCACTGTCAGGGTAAGTTTAGAAAGAAATTACCAATGATGAGAAGTAGCTCTGGAAAAAAGATTACAACCTAAGTGATGAAATTTCAAAGTTTATTTTTCAAATATATATTTCATAAATTAATTGTTCTTATTTCATCTTTATCCTACTATTCTAATTTTCTGCAGAGTTTGGCCCATAACCATATAACTTGCTTTGTATAGTATATAGTACTCTACTCATCAATGGAGATGTAGATAAAGATTTTTTAGATCACAATAGATTTTACATTAGGTTAGGTTACATATAAATATGAAAAGGAAATAAATAATATACTTTATTAATTCAGTTGTATAGATAGCCTAAAATTTCATCCTCAATAACTCAAAATCTAGTGTTCACTCATTCATTTAATCAAGTGTCTTGAATGCTTTCTATGCTCTGGGCTCTGTGCTAATCTTAAAAATTAAAATACTATTTTAAGACTCTTCAATGATGACATATGTGATTAATATAATTTGACATATAAACAAAGTGTTTTGCTGACACAAGGATTCATATCACTTGGGAGGTGAAGATGATGGTACAGGAAGCCTGGAAAGAACAATTTCTATGAGGAAAAAGGGAAATACAACTCATATAGGACCTATGAAGCTTAAGACCCCAGAACTTCAGGAAGTATTAAAAAGAGCCTGGTGGTGCAAGGGGTTAAGTCTCAGCACAATGACCCCGCCAGCTAACCCACGTTTCAGCAGACCTCTCCTGTCTCGCCCAATGCTCCCCTCAGCAGTGTATTTCAGCCAGTCTGCCTGTTCTGCTCCCCACTCTGTCTCTGGTGAATCCTCTCACCATCCCTCAGCACCTCTGGCCTACACCCCAGCTCTTGAATACATAAATAAATAAATCTTTTTTTTAATATATTTTTTACATCATTTTTCATTTTTGCACAATGTATACATTTTCATCTTGGTTATAGTCCCCATACAATTCCCACCCCCCCTTATTTTGACCTTAATCCCTATAAACCAGAAACACACTACGGGAGGGGAGAAGGAGGGAAAAAATCTTTAAAAAAAAAAAAAAAAAAAAAGTCAGCCTAGGACAGTCCAGGAGGGGTAAACTTCAGTTAATTCATAACCTCAATTCTTAAACCAATGTTATTTTCAGAAGGTGTTCTCAGACCCTTAAGGATGCAAAGTTATGTTTATTCATAATACCTATTTGAATTCATTTCTCAAATAAAATCTTTCAGTTTTTGGAGTTTATTTTGTCTCCTCAATGAGTTTTCATAGTTTCAGTGATTCTGTTCCCATAGGTAAAATGGAAAAGAAATGTCAAGCAAGTCCTACAGTGTAATGGCACAAATCAGGCCTGCAGCACATATAAGTAAAAGAAGGATCCTTTTCTCTCACTTTTTACTATGGAGCAAAAGATTCTGAGTCCTAGTTAAGGATTAAGTATAGTTCTGTGAGAATATTAATTTTTATAGCTTATAAAATAATACTGTTTCTCTAATTCATCAGGTCAAACACAAGGATTATAGTCCCTGTTATGGCTACCACTGGCTGTCAGAAGATCATGAAGAAGCTTATCACACTGCTAATCTTGTATTCTCCCTCAGCAAGAGCTTTGTCCACCTTGAATCCCTGCCTGAACTGCCTTGCGGCCAAACCCAAAAAATCCAAGCACAATATATTCTGAATGGACAAGTCCTACAGGGGCTGAAGAAGCTCATGTTCTATTACCTGGTGAGAAGGAAGGCCACTGCCTTGACTGTCTCTAGCCGAATCTCCCTGTGGGGCAATGAATTAAGAAACTTCTTAGACATCACTAGTATGACTTCTTAGCCATGTTCCTTCTGAAAGTCTGACTTCTTTCAAGGCTAGTTGTTAGAGTCAGAACTGGATAAAATAAGCATTTCACATGGAGGGCAAGACAGGGTAAGATCTCCAGCAGGTACATTTGATTCCTTTTTATTTCCGTTTTTGCAGATAATGGCAAGGGGAGGTATTGTTCACACTGGAACTCATATACTACCTGTGGAGGAGGGAGACAGTGAGTATTTCCATAATTCCACGTTTCTGCCCCACCCCAACACATGCAATCATACAATGCAGAAATACCAGGAAAAGTTTCAAATAGAGATCATTTCCATTTAACCCCAATAAGGAAACTGGGGTGAAAGCAATGTTTCTTTTACCCATCCTTTATCAAATATTTATTTTGTTTTCCATCAGCGTAATCTGTCCTGATTGTTTAAAATGCTGATGTTGTTTTATAATCTATGCTTATTTCAAATTTTCAAACCACAAGCATTCTTAGGTCTTCTTCTCAAAGTGACATTTCAAAATTGTTTAGGCAATGAAGAGATGGTAAAATGTTGGAGTACCTTCTATTTACTAGGTTTTGTGTTGTCAATTTATATCTCTACATTGTTAATTCCCTTTTGATTTACAAAGCATTAAATTGGGCATTTCATTCAATAAATTGAACTTTCCTGATGAATAAATGTGGATTAAGATAAACTTCTGAAGGTTTTTGTTATTCTAAGGGAGTCTAAAAGGTCACTTACTAGCAAACTATCAGTAAAAGTATATTTTTGTTACCTCTTCATAACAACACAGAAACACCATAGTAGACTTATAGAACCTCCAAAGAATCTACATAAGCCGATTCAAGAACTAACTTCTAAAGGAGCATAGTAATGTAAGAAGAAAAGAACATTTAGTTCATAGAAGGTTAAAGAGATGTAAGGATAAATACAATGTGCTGAGCTCTTACTATAACATCTCACAACTTCAGATTCTATTAAATCTCTTCTCTAGTGTGAAGTCTAGATTAAATGGTAGTCATATGGACATATCTATATCCTTAAATAGCATCAGAATGTTCTAGGTGAGCTAAAGCTTAAAATTGGTGAGAAATCATTATATGATTTGTGAGAGAAGAAAGAGCTTTGATAAGGCTTTTCTTAAGCAAGAGTTCTTAGAGGCAGCATCCATTTATTACACCTGTTTCATGGATCGATTACATCTGCTGATAGAAACAACCATTACAGACCAGACTCCTAAATTGGATTTGTGCAACTGAAAAATTAATTTCATTCCTGGGAAAATACCTAACCCATAATCACCTCTTACACTTTCTATGCTCCAGTGAAAGGCCATTTTTCCGTGTCAGTCCCTGTGGAGTCAGACATTGCTCCCATCGCACGACTGCTCATATACACTATTTTACCTGATGGGGAAGTGATTGGAGATTCTGCAAAATATGAGGTTGAAAATTGTCTGGCCAATAAGGTAGGTGCTTTATGTCATAAAATTATCAACACTTAAAACTAGAAGTTATTATTGTCATGAATTAGTTTCTCTAGGCAAACAGTGGGGCCAAAGGGTTAAATGAACTTCCTAGAGATTTTCAGTAAGACAACGGCAGAGTCACACTTACAAGTAATGTCACTTAACTCCTTGTGCAAAATTCTGATACACTGTCTCTTACCACGTAGTACAGTTCAGAGCAGCTTGTTGACTTCTTTTTTTGTGGGACCCTCACCGGCGGCCGGGGAACGAACCGGCCCTGCAGAGGCTGTGGGCAGCCTTGCAGTCCAGCGCTCAACCGCTGCGCCACCAGGGGAGGCCCCTTGTTGACTTCTTTTTAATGAAATATTGGGAAATATGTATGCATGTTTTTAAGACTACTAAAAACCCAAAAGAAAACAAGAATATCTAGAAACAACTGCATTCCACCCAGAGTTAATGAGCATCACACCATCTATCAAAGGCAAAAATGGCATCTCAAATTTAGTAACAGAAAGAATAATTAGGTATCACTGTAATGGCTCCACTGATTCTTCAGAATCAGAGTGAAGCATAGGGGACAAAAAGATTTGAGATGACATGGTTCCAACCACCACATCACAAAGCCAAAATGACTATGCTTTGAATGTGATATATGATAAACACTCCAAAATGCTGTTAAATGCATAAAGCAGATCTGTTTTTCTGCCCTTTCTTCCCAATTCCACAGGTGGATTTGAGCTTCAGCCCAACACACAGTCTCCCGGCCTCACAAGCCCACCTGCGAGTCACAGCTTCTCCTCAGTCCCTCTGCGCCCTCCGTGCTGTGGACCAGAGTGTGCTGCTCATGAGTCCTGAGACGGAGCTCTCTGCAGCCTCAGTGAGTTCTCCTCAGTTTCGGGGTTAGTAAAGGCCCCTAGGAGGAGAAAGGATGCTCAGAGCCAGTAGAAATGCTTAATAAGAGTCTCATCAGCTCTTTGTAGATTTTTGTGATCAGTCCTTTATCATTAGTGTTGTGTGCAAAAATGTTCTCCCAGTTGGTGGGGTTTCTCTTTGTTTTTGTTATTGTCTCTTTTGCTGTGCAGAAGCTCTTTAATTTGATGTAGTCCCAGCTGTTGATCTTTGCCTTCACTATCACTGCTTTGGGTGATGTGTCTGTAAAGATGTCTTTGATATGCATGTCATGTAGTGTTTCGCCTATATTTCTTTCTATGTATTTGATCAAGAAGATGTGGTACATATACACCATGGAATATTACTCAACAATCAAAAAAGATAAACACATGCAATTTGCAGCAACATGGATGGAGCTGGAAGGGATCATGCTCAGCGAAATAAGCCAGAAAAAAAAAGAAAAATACCAGATGGTCTCACTCATAGCAGGAATCTAGAAAATTTAAATAAGGGACCAGGAAAAAGAATAACTATAAGAAAGAAAATATCAAAATCAACAAATAACTATGAACAAGAGACACTCTATGGGGGGTGGGGGACAGGGAAAGGAGAGCTTGGGGTAAAAATAAGGGGGTTGTAATTGTATGGGGAATATAAAAATAAAATTTAAATTAAAAAAAATTAAAATAAAAAAAAGAAATGCTTAATAAGAAAAACAGGATCTATTAAACTTGTGCTTATCTAGAAGTTAAGTTTTCAGTTTCTCTCTTAGTATTGCTTGTGCTTTGTCCTGTAAATTCTGAAAGGTTGAGTCTTTACTGTCATTTGTCTTGAGATATTTTTTCATTTAACCCACTTATTGCTCAGTTGTTCAGCTTCCACATATTAGAGTTTTTTCCTGCTTTATTTTTGTGGTTGATTTCTAGTTTGATATCATTGTGGTCAGAGAAGATGCTTAGTATGATTTCAATCTTCATGAATTTATGAGGCTTGTCTTGTGACCCCGTAAGTGGTCAATTCTGAAGAATGTCCCATGTGTATCCACCTTTTTGGGGTCAGTGCACTATAAATGTCTATTAAGCCCATGTGGTCTAATTCTTTGTTTAAGGCTATTGTGTCATTTTTTTGGTCTGGTTGATCAGTCCATTGGTGAAAGTTGGGTGTTGGAGACCCCAGTCAAGAATGTGTTTTAGGACCTCCCCGGTGGCGCAGCGGGTTGAGCGCAGCGCTATGAAGCTGTCCACAGCCTCTGCAGCACCTGTTCAACTCCTGGCCAGCCAGGGAGCAACCCACATAGCATGGCAGACCTCTCCAATCTCACCCGCTGCTCCCCTCAGCAGTGTATTTCAGTCTTTCTGCCTGTTCTGCTCCATATTCTGTCTCTGGTGAATCCTCTCACCCTCCCGCACTTCTGGCCTATACCCCAGTGCTTGTATAAATAAATAAATCTTTAAAAAAAAAAAAAAGAATGTGTTTTAAACAATGTCTGTTTTCAAATTTGCAAATCTGAAAACAGACATTGGTTAAAACACGTTCTTTTTTTTTTCCTTCATTGTTTTTATTGCTTCCTTCATGTTTTTATTCCTTCATTTGGTGCATATATATTGATGAATGTTATGTCTTCTTGGTGTATTATTTCCTTATTATATAGTGTACATACCTGTTTTTTGTTATCTTTTTTACCTGTAAATCTATTTTATCAGATAGAAGTATAACTATCCCTGCCTTCCTTTGGACCCCATTTGCTTATAGGATTAGTTTCCAACCTTTTATTCCTTACTTATGTTTATCTTTGGAGCTCAGGTGCATTTCTGGGGACGAGAGAAAGTTGGATCTGTTTTCTAATCCAATCAGATACTGTGTTTTTTAACTGGTGAGTTCAGTCCATTTACATTTAAAAGTGATTATGAAAATATAAAAGTCTGCTAATGTCATTTTGTCCTTAACTTTGTGATTCAATCTATTTCCTTGTTTAGTTATTTGTGGAAGTTTTTCTCTTTTATTAAATGAGAGCTTCTTTCAACATTTCTTGGGGCAGAGTATTTGCAGAGTATTTCTTGGGGCAGAGTATCTAGTATTTGCAAATTCCTTCAGCTTCTGTTTGTCTGCGAGGCCATTATTTCTCATATCTGAAGGAGAGTCTGGCAGAATAGAATATTCTTGGGTAGCAGTTTTTAATCTTTAAGTATTTTGATCACATCAGGCCATTCTCTCCTTACCCACAGTGTTTCTTCAGAGACATACAATGATCAGTGTTCTTTTCTAGGTTATCTGCTTCCCCCTAAAGCAGCTTCAATAGTCTCTTTGTCTTGAGTTCTCAGAAGTTTTACTACTATATATATTGGTGTGGGTCTCCTTCTGTTTAGGTATCCTGGTGTTTTTTAGCTTCATGGATTTGTATGTTTAATTCCTCCTCCAGGTTTGAGAAGGTTTCCTCTGTCATTTCTTTAAGTTCTCTGTTTACTTCTCTCTTTCCTCCCCTTCAGGGATACCCAGTATCTTTTATTATTGTATTTCCTCATGGAGTCAGATAATTCTGGAAGTGTTTCTTCACTTTTTTTCTTTGAAACTCTCTCTCTTCTTCCCCCTGGATTCTTTATGCATTAACATCGTCAAGGTAACTGATTTGATCTTCCATTTGATCTGTTCTACTTTCATACCATTTCCCAGAATTTATCTCCTCTATTGATGTTATCACATCCTGCATCTCCATCACTTTCTTATTTAAGGCTTCAATTTCAATGTTCTACTCATTCATATATTCAGGACATTCATTTGTTTTTCTGAATTTTCTTGTACATCTTTGATCAGTTTTTCTGTGTTTTCTTTGAATTTCTTTATCATGCAATTTTAAATTCTATATCTAATAGAAATAAAAGATATTCCACGTCTTTGTCGTTGGGCTCTAGAGATCTGTGGGGTTACGAGTACTCAGGTTGCCGGTTATGTTCTTTCTTCTCTCCATGCTTTACTTTCTGAGTATTAAGGATGGAGAGCTTCCACCTTTCCAGTAGGTGGGATTATATGACAGAGAACTAACCTGTACTCTGGTGTTCAATGAGTCAAGTATGGTCCTAGAGGGGTCTGGAGCTCCCGAAAGTGCTATACGTGACTTGGCTTAGCTCGTGCCTGTGTCAGTGCCTTCTGGGTCTCAGACCTGCACTCTGCAGTTTGTAGGCTGGACCCCTGTGCAGCTCTGGCATATTCCAATGTGGCCTCACTATATCCACTCCATTCTGCAACCACTCACTCCTGAGGGAAATGGATGGGGTGAGCCATATCTTTCTGAGCTTTGTCTTGCTCACTGGAGGGCCTGTCTGCTTGGCTCCCCACAGCACTCATGCCTGTATCTTCCAGGGATAGATCTCCAACAATCATCTTTGCCTTCCCTGGGCAGATGTATGAACTGTGGTTTCCATCCCAGCAACCACCTCCTCCTTCTCCACTCACTCCTGTTACTCCCTTAAGTTGAATTTTGTCTACATTTCCCCTGTCACACTCAGTCAGCATTGGTCCCAAGCAATCATGAGGTACTCTGGCTTTGAGGTTCTTTGGGTTCAGTGCCTATCTGGACTCCTCAGTTTATTCTCCCCAGAGCAAAGCAAGGATTTGATGCCATCGTCCCGTCAAGTTCTTCCTTGTCAGTTTTAAACTCCTATGAATATAATACAGTGCACCTATCAGCATTTTATGCCTTTCTTACTCTTCCCCTTCAAATGAATTTGAAAGCATCACTACCAGTATGTTACAGTTTAACTGTTTGAAGATATGGAGTATTTTATTCCCATGAATAATATCTGATACATACTATCCTGTCTTCTATAGAAGATATACACTTATTCATGTGTTTGTCCATTAACTATATTATATGCATGTTGCATCAGCAACATGAATCAGTGCTATATGGTAGAGACATCACTATCATCCCAAAGTCTCAAATATAGTAGACCTTGATTTCTCTTAATAAGTTTTAATTCATTCTAGTGTGGGCTCTGGGGTTTGCCTCTGAACTGTGTTAACAAGTAAGTTTGTCCTTTTATTCCTTTGTACAGGTTTATAACCTGCTACCAGTAAAGGACCTCAATGGTTTCCCTGAGAGTTTGAATCAACGGGAGGAAGATGACAGAGAGTGTATCAATCACCACAACGTCCACATCAATGGAATCATGTATTCTCCAGTATCAAATACAAATGAAAAAGATATGTTTAGCTTCCTACAGGTAAATCAGTTATATTGTAGGTGGTCATTCTCAAAGTTCATAAAATATTACATATGGGAAAAATTATCTATTTTAATGCCTTCATATCATAATTGGGGGTAATAAGTTATAAAGAAGTCAAGGGACTTATCTATAGTAGCAGATCTGCTAATAGCAAGAGAGCTAGAATTGGAATATTTGAAGCTTATTAATAAATTTTCTTCATTTTACTGATTCACTGTCATGTGATATTTACAAATATCACATATATAATTACTGTTGAAAGAATTTTAAAAACAGGATAAAATTACTCCTATAAGTATATCAATATTCCTCTGACAGATGTGAACATTAAAACTTCAATATTAAGCTAACTGGATTGTTTGCTAAATTCAATAAAAAGAAGTACATATATACATATACATATTTACATACTGATTAGGTGATAATTCTCTTAACAGGATATGGGCTTAAAGGTATTCACCAACTCAAACATTCGTAAACCCAAAGTATGTGCAGAGCCTCAACATTATGCAATGCAGGCAGCATCTCGAAGACTATTAAGTTCTCCAGGTAAAAATTAATAAAAATTGTCTAATATATTGTGTGGAATAGAAGGTCTCCTTTAAAGAAAAAAATGAATAAAAAAGCACATGTGATTCAGACACATTAAGGTCATAGCTTACAAACCCAAAGTTTTTTTTTATTTTGTTGTTTTGTATTATTTTTTTAATTTAATTTTATATATATTTTATATCATTCTTCCTTTGTGCTTTCTCCTCTCAGGTGTAGTCCCCACAAAATTCCCACCACCACCAATTCACCCATGAACCATCACCATAGTCCCTTATATAAGAACACATTCCCTCCCATTTTGATCCTTCTCCCTTCTCCCTCCCTTGCAGAGTGTCTCTGATTAATAGTTGCCTGTTAATTTTGTTTTTAAATTTATTATATTTTTTTCCTGGCCCCTTTTTCGGCTCCCCTATATTCCTCCTATAAGTGAAACCATCCAATATTTTTCTTTTTTTTTTTCCTTCTGGCTTATTTCACTGAGCATAATCCATTCTAGCTCCATCCATGTTGCTGCAAATGACATGAGTTTATCTTTTTTATTGCTGAATAGTATTCCATTGTGCATATATTACCACATCTTCTTGGTCCAGTCATCTGTTTTTGGGCATTTGTGTTGTTTCCATATCTTACCTATCGTAAGCAGTGGTGCAATAAACATAGATGTGCTGGTGTCCTTTTGAATTTATCTTTTTTGATTGCTGAGTAATATTCCATTGTGTGTATGTACCACATCTTCTTGATCCAGTCATCTATTTTTGGGCATTTGGGTTGTTTCCACAGCGTACCTATTGTAAATAGTGCTGCTATAAACATAGGGGTGCAGGTGCCCTTTGGAATTAATGTTTCTGTGTCATTTGGGTAAACACCTAGGAGTAGAATTGCTGGATCATATGGAAGCTCTATCTTTAGTAGGTCAAGAAATCTCCACAGAGCTCTCCATAGTAGTTGGACCAGTTTGCACTCCCACCAGCAATTCAGGAGAGTTCCTTTTTGGAGAAATGTCTTTTTAGCTCTTCTGCCTAGATTGTTTACTGGATTGTTTTGACTGGATTCTTTACTTTGTTTTCGTTGAGTTGTGTGAGCTCTTTGCAGATCTTTGTGATCAGTCCCTTATCAGTAGTATTGTGTGCAAAAATTTTTTTTCCAATGAGTAGGGTGTCTCTCTGTTTTGGTTAATGTCTCTTCTGCTGTACAGAAGCTTTTTATTTGATGCAGTCCCAACTATTCATCTTTTCCTTCATTTTCTTTGCTTTGGGGGGATAAGTCTTTAAAGATGTTGTTGGGATGTATGTCATGTAGTGTTTTGCCTATAGTTTCTTCTATAAATTTTATGATTTCAGGTGTCATGTCCAAGTCTCTTATCCATTTTGAGTTGGTTTTTGTGCATGGTGTAACAGTCTAGCTTCATTTTTTTTGCATGTAGCAGTCCAGTTTTCCCAGCACCATTTATTGAGCAAACTGTCCTTTTCCCACTGCATATTCTTTGCACCCTTGTCAAAGATTAGTTGTCCATAAATATGTGAGTTTATTTCTGGGTTTTCAAACCCCAAATTTCTGATTATGTCAAGCCCCTACAAAGATTAAACTACAGAGAAAACAAAGCAAATCATAAAAGTGTTAGAAGAAAGGTACAGATATGCAAAATAAAAGATTCACTTGTAATGATTTTGTCTCTGCTAAATGGAAATACGTAGAGTTGAAAAGGGAAGAGGAAATTCCCACACACAGGATCAGTGTAAATAGAAATAGAAATATTCACAAGTTGAAACGATCTTCTCACCAATCAGTTCTTTGACTTCCTTAAAAAAGCTCTTTCACTTCCCCAAAACACCTTCCAATACTCATGTGTAAATCACTCTCATTTGTCAGAGATATGGGCTACCTTTTTGTTCAATCAGTGACCAAACATATATGTATAATCTGATACTGTTAAATCATGGTTGAATATAATTGAGCACAAGAGTTTGTCAAAAATCAGGAAAACAATCAGTGAGACTTAATCGACTGTATGGAATTTAAATCAAGATTACTGTATATTTTTATTATTATTTATACAGTCTGTAATTCTTTATCAGTAAGATTTATTGTAAGCCTCTATATGTACAAGTATATATAGGCACAATTTATTTTTTACTTGCACATCAATGAACAGAAGGTAAACATGGTAAGAGATCCTAACTCTGATCTTCTGAAAAGCCTGAGAATAATAAGTCTTGCTTATCCTTGATCCTTTAGCTCCTGCAAACTGTTTCTCAAAGTCGCTGTCATAATGTCTCATGTAATTTTTCTTTGCTCCCACAGAGGAGCACGCCAAATGGAAGCTCTGCGCTCTGTCCTCCTTAATGCCCTCTACTTCATGCAATGAGGAGTAACCACAGAGGACTTTTTCTGCCCCACAGATAATCCAAGTTCTTTTCCTGCAGCTAGTTCTCTAGGTGCCCTGCTTATGTTTCTCTCCCCTTGCTCATGTCTACCTTACTTTAGTACTTCAGAATACCTAAAATATTACTCCTCAAAGATTTCTCTTAGTACTCAAATGTTCTCTCCAGGTTCCTAATTGTGTCATCACCTATTAATTTCTTTTGTGGCATGTATTACAATTTCCCACAGCTTTATCTTTTTCTCACTCATCCAACACAGTCTCAGCCGAATTGCGAACAGCTGGTGATTTTATGAATATGATGCATGTTTCTGAGCCTCTCCCAGAGACTGTGCGGAAGTACTTTCCTGAGACGTGGATCTGGGACTTGGTGGTGGCAGAGTAAGTAACTTTCTCTATATAGAAGATGCAACAATATAGACCTCTCACTATTTTCAATTCTTAGCTTATTTTTTAATATCCAACTATTTCTTTTAGACATACTGCTATTCTCAGGACAGGTTTTACTAAATAGCTCTTTGAAGTCTCACTAATCTAACTGCATCAGAGCTAAAAAAATTTTGCACAAATTTAATACTAAGATTTCTGGAAAATAGGCACAGGACTAAATATAACTAAATACTACATAGGTTAACACTTAATAAGAGATCTTCATTGATTAGCAATCTTGAATTAAACACAGATCTGTCAAGCCAACTATACAGAGTTAGAATTAAAAAATTAAAACCTTCCCTCAGTGAAACAGTTTTTTAGAGAGGAAAATTTCAGAACTTAAAATTGAGTGTTTAGTTTATAATTATATTGCTTATAATAGATTATAATACAACTATTTGTCTACAGGAGATTCTGATATAGATTAAAATTAAAAACAGAATTGGAAGAAAAGGATTTATGTTTTCCCATATGGAGACTTATAGTCTCCATGATGGGTATTCCTACTGAGTGAATTCAAGTCATGACAAGAAAATCATTTAGAGGAGTTCTTTTCCTAAAATGGACTTATGAACTGTTTTTCTTTTTGTTCCTCACATTGCCATCCTCTCCAGTTCATCAGGTGTGGCTGAAGTAGGAGTGACAGTCCCTGATACCATCACAGAGTGGAAGGCAGGAGCCTTCTGCCTGTCCAAGGAGACTGGACTTGGTCTCTCTCCTCCTGCCTCTCTCCGAGTCTTCCAGCCTTTCTTTGTGGAGCTCACGTTGCCCTACTCTGTGATCCGTGGGGAGGCCTTCACACTTAAGGCCACTGTCCTAAACTACCTGCCCAGCTGCATTCGAGTAAGAACCTCCCTTTCCTGAGTTAAACACAAACTAACAATCAAGTACGTTAAAAACTGCATTCCTAGGACTACTAGCAAACTCTGTGCAAACAACTTGCTCACCAAAGTAAATATTCTATCAGAAATATTCATGTTATGTAAGTTATGGTTGCTGATACCTTCAGATACCGAATTACAACTTAAAAAAACGTTTCTGACCCTTAACCACTTGAGGTTGGAAAACTTGTATAGTATGAAGATTTCTGATATAGAAAAAAAAAATCATTCTTAGATTCTCCAAGGTTTCAACCTTTGCATTCCAATATTTAACTTTTCATATATTGTTAATTATAGTAAGCCTTCTTTAAAATGGAATACAGGGGAACCAAACAAGGGATCAGAGGTGGAAAAAGATAAAACTAGCAGGCTAACTATTACTTGAAGACATTCAGCAGGGAAGGGAAAGGGATTAAAAGAGGAGCAGGAAGAGCACAAGAGACTATGGTGATGGTTCATGGGTGAATTGGTGGTGGGAATTTTATGGAGACGATATCTGAGAGGAGAAATCAAACATTGTACAAAAATTAACGATGACGTAATATATATATAATAAATAAAATGTAATTTTTGAGCATTTCACTTCTGCTGAATCCATAACTGTCTATAAATCTTGCATACTCTATTGGGAAAGTTGGAAAAATAACCAAGATCCCATGCCAAAGAAGACCATGTTCCCATAGGCAATATGGTACCATGACTTCTCTTCACCTCTGGTCCCACCATACAAAAAAATAGATTTAGGGCCCCCCTGGAGGCGCAGGCGGTTAAGCGACGCACTGTGAAGCGCCCACAGCCTCTGCAGCGCGTGTTCGATCCCGGCCAGCAGGGGAGAAATCCACATGGCGAGGCAGACCTCTCCTGTCTCGCCCGCTGCTCCTCTCAGCAGTGTATTTCATCTGTCTGCCTGTTCTGTTCCCTGCTGTCTCTGGTAAATTCTCTCACTGTCCCGCACATCTAGCCTGTACCCCGGTTCTTGTATAAATAAATCAATCTTTTTTTTTTTTTATTTTTTTTTTTATAGAGGCATGTTTATTTATTTATTTGTTTGCTTGTTTGTTTGTTTGTTTATACATGCACTGGGTACAGTCAGAAGCGCGGGAGGGTGAGAGAATTCACCAGAGCCAGAGCGGGGAGCAGAGCAGGCAGAAGGACCGAAGTACACTGCTGAGGGGAGCAGCGGGCGGCAGGAGAGGTCCGCGCGCCATGTGGGACCCTCCTCCAGTGGCCGGGGAGCAGCCAGGGATCGAACCGGCGCCACAGAGGCTGCGTGCAGCTTTGCAACCCAGCGCTCAACCACTGCGCCACCGGGGAGGCCCAATAAATCAATCTTAAAAAAAAAAAGTAGATTTACATGAAAATGCTAAGATTTAGATGTCAGAGTCACGAAAAGGTGCTCAGTCTTTGTTATATTGCCTTCACTATTAAGCAAACTAAAATTTAACCAATCCCCCAATATACTTTATTTAAAAACATTCGACCTTTGGTTCCCTTCTCCTTCTAATCTTTTTTGTCTCTTTGCCTATGTGTGATTTCAGGTCAGTGTGCAGCTAGAAGCCTCTCCTGCATTCCTAGCTGACCCCAGGGAGAAGGAACAAGAGTCTCACTGCATCTGTGGGAATGGCCGCCAAACTATCTCCTGGGCAGTAACACCAAAGTCATTAGGTAAGGGGCAGTCTCCAAGAGAATTTTCCACTCAAGGATTGTATGTATCAGCGAGTATCTTACAGCCAGTACTAGGCAAAGAACGTCTCTCCTCCAACCCACTACCCACCCAAGGATGGTAGGATTTTTTTGTTTGTTTGTTTTCCATGCTCTCACCTTCATCTACATCTTGAATTCTCAGTATCATTAGCCTCTAGTTTATGCTAGTGCAACCCTGTTTCTGTGTTTTTATAGAACACAAAAAAAATTACAAAGCATTGAAAATTTCTAAAACTTGGGATTTGGAGGCATAGAGGAAGGAGAAGATGGTGCTCATCTCTGTTGATCCTTTTTTCAGGAAATGTGAATTTCACTGTGAGTGCAGAGGCCCTGGAGTCTCAACAGCCATGTGGAACTGAGGTGGCTGTGGTCCCAGAATATGGAAAGAAAGACACAATCATCAAGTCCCTATTGGTTGAAGTAAGCCTTCCGATTTTATAGGTCACAATGACTCAAAAAAAAAAAAAAAAAAAAAAAAAAAAAAAAAAACCCAGTAGCGAATCCAGTTGAAGTTTCAAGTTTTAGGTAAAAGGAGCTAAATAATATGTGATTATTGATTATTTTACAGTATTATTCTCTCTGTATCTACTAGTCTATTTTGAGCCTATCTACAACTATCTATCTCTATTGCTATTTTTCTACTGTCTCTCTTGACTTATTTTCATTATTTTCCCTTCATTTTCTCAACTATCAATCTCCTTCATTTTGCTTATACTTGCAGAATTTGTTATGTAATACATTTGGAAATCAATTACAATACTTTTCACTATCAAAAAATTGGTTGTTCCCCTGTCAACACACATATCCTGAAAGTCATTCTCAGCTCTAATTTTTCTTTCTCTCCATCTAAAGCCTGAAGGACTAGAGAGGGAAACAACATTCAACTCCCTGCTTTGTCCCTCAGGTAAGAGTCAGCCTCGTAATTAAAAGAACATTGATTAAAGTTTAATTTTTGAAGTTCAAAGAATTTTATATATTATTCATATATTTTTCCTATGAAGTAAGTCATAAAGAACCATCAACCCATTTAACAAATAAGGAAGTTGCCTCTTAAAGCAGTCTATTAGTTTGCCAGGACAATGTCCCTGTAGCATGCATTCTGAGCTTTATGTCTTACAGCACCCATGCAAACACCAAAATGTCTTTCTCATCAGTGTATAATGTAGTTATACAAAGAAAATGAGTAGAAACAATATTATCCAAGGGGATATTTACCACATCCTTGGGTATTTACTAATATAACATATGGGTAACTGAATGCAGGTCACCCCATACTGAGTTTTGCGAAGTCAACAGTATTTGATAATAGGACTATGTTATTTCTTGAAGAAAGTTGTCATAACGTTTACCATTCTATCACATCAATACTTGTTTAATGTCAACCCCATAACTAATGTTCTATCAGTCATTTGAAAAGGGAAAATAGACATTTATAGTAAAAGATATGACTATCCTAGTTGGAAATTTTCTAGTCTAAACAAAAACATTTATGGATATTTAGTACCCTAGAAATTTATCAACACATGACACTATGCTGTACAGTAGGTCTCTAAAACTTACTCATCTTGCATAACTGAAATTTTTTACCCTTTGTACCATAGTTTTTAATATTAATGTTATGAAAAAGAGATGCAGTATGAAGATAAATACTAATTTCTTTCCTCTTCATATAACTTATCAATATCAAAAGGTCAGCAAATGAATGCATCTCAGCAGCCATTATTTTCAATAAGTCAAATACTCTTGATCTTTACCCCTACTTCCAGCCATAAAAATACTATTTTCATATCTGGTGAAAGCTTATAGAAGAACAGAATTCAGAAACCTTTTAGACTTTTTCCTTTGCTTATACATATATAGGTGATTTTTTTTATATTCAACTGTTGAGTAAAGAGGTTGGGGGTGGACACTAAAAATATTGTCTTGAAATACTCCACCCATCTCGTGCTAGTCATAGGATGACTACAACAGAACCACAACATCATGGGCACTTATAAATTTAGAGCATTCTTTTGGAGTACAACTCTACAAACAGGGTAGAAAGATAATTGAGAAAGGAGGAGTTCTGGAAATTTCAGAATCCCATTCATACATGTTTAAGATAAAAAAAATTGAAATATGAAGAGGGACACCATTTCAGAAAAAGTTTAGACATAAGGCATATTTCTGACTTCTGAGTCGTTGAGATCTTCAAGAAGGTATAACAGAAATAATGTGCATTATGGATGATTTATGTCTTTCTCTAGGTTCTGAGGTAGTTGAACAATTATCTCTGAAGTTGCCACCAAGTGTGGTAGAAGATTCTGCCCGAGCCTCTTTCTCAGTTTTAGGTGAGTCTCCAATTGTAGTGGGGGGACTATTCTATTATACTGACAGTTTCTACTATATTTCTTTCCCATAAATACCCAAATGACAACAATAACGTTAACTTTATGTCTTGTGTGAGCTTGTTTCCAGTCATACTTCTGTTCCTGGAAGACTTACTTTTCAAAAACAATCCTCATCTCTTTACCTCAGCTAATTAGTATTCTTTATTTTTTTAATTTTATTTTATATATTTTTTACATCAGTCTTCATTTTTGTACAATGTATGCTTTCCCATCTCAGTTATAGTCCCGTGAAATTCCCACCACCAATTCACCCATCTACCATCACCATAGTCCCTTGTGCTCTTCCTACCCGTTTTGATCCTACTCCCTTCTCCCCCTCTGCAGAATGTCTCTGGTTTAATTAGTATTCTTCATGATTCTGATAAATTATAATCTACAAGTTTCCTAACTTCCCAACTTTACCACTCCCTAGGAGACATATTAGGCTCCGCCATGCAAAATACACAAGATCTCCTTAAAATGCCTTATGGTTGTGGAGAACAGAATATGGTCCTTTTTGCTCCAAATATCTATGTTCTGGATTATCTAAATGAAACACAGCAGCTGACTCGAGAGATCAAGTCCAAGGCCATTGGCTACCTCAATACAGGTAAGTAACTGAATGAGTGAGTTCATAGTTTTGTTTTAATAATAGACTGAATTTTCCAATAATATTCAGTTATACTATATTCTATGTATATAGTATTATATACTATAATAGTTAATATGATACGAATACTGTGATGCTAATTTCATGGTAACAATCCTGTGTCCAACCTCCAATAAAATGTTTAGGACTGATAACCTTCTAAAATGACAGCAAAATTCAGGAAATACTACAGTAGAGACCAAGATGTTTTAGGTACTTCTCTGGTTGAAGCATGTACAATCTGTCATGTTTTTTATTAACCTTGTGTTCCAGGTTATCAGAGACAGCTGAACTACAAGCACTATGATGGTTCCTATAGTACCTTTGGGGAACAATATGGCAGAAACGAGGGCAATACCTGGTAGGGAAATACCATTTTTTTGCTTCTATTGTGCCATCTATTTTTATATACTATCACAATTATATTCACAGTAACCCTATCATGTAGATATTATTAAACTTATAGTCACTTATACTATGTTGATACACCAAGACTAGAGAGTTAACAAGCAGGAAAGTTGAAATTCAAACATGTAAGTATATTAGACTTGCCCCCAAAATTCATCATGTTAATAACACCAAGGAACTCTTTCAAAACAGTAATTTTTTTCTCATATAATTCCCATAACTATGCTTTTTTACTGAGTCATATGACATAACTTCTAGATAAACCATGTTAAATTCAGTTTGTATTATGTTTTTTTGGATCATATTCATCATGACTGAGAATAAATTCATGAATAGGAAGAAAGAAATTAGAGGGACCCACAACAATGATAAAATCCCTAAGGCAAAGTAAAATCAGAAGAAGTTATTATATGTAAGAGTTATATGTGAGAAAATTCCATCTTCAGAAGGAAGTCACTAAAAAAAAGAAAAAGTCAATCAAATAAGTAAGAGTAAATAAGATTTAAGAGTTACTTAGACTCTCTGTAGCAAAGACAAAATGAGTCAGCAAGGAAATACTAGATCTAGTAGACTCATCACGAAACCTAAGGGAAATAGGAGCTCGAATACACAAGACCACCCGCTATAAGACTCATCAATATAGAAAGCGCCATGTGAAGCCTGTTACTATGAAGTGGTTATAAAATCATTGTAATGACCTAATATCAGCATTCCTTCCTCCCCCCTCAGGCTCACAGCCTTTGTACTAAAGACTTTTGCCCAGGCTCGATCTTATATCTTCATTGACGAAGCACACATCACCCAGGCCCTCACCTGGCTCTCCCAGAAGCAGAAGGATAATGGCTGTTTCAGGAGTTCTGGGTCACTGCTCAACAATGCCATTAAGGTACAGTATTATTAGAGTTAGCTTTGATGTGTCTATTATGATGTCTGCAAGGATGAGGAGAGAAAGAAGTAACAGGAGTTCCTTAAGCGGTATGAAAAGTAAATAATAAAACCCAGAGTGTACCAAGAAAAAAGGGGTTAGAACTTAGGTTATTTGTGTTACTTTGCCCCATGGGAATGAACATGAGCAAGAATAAATTCCATGATAGCAGAATATAAAGAACGGATTAAGGGCATTCTTAGAAGTTAAATTACTCAAGTTTCTCCCCCTACCTCTCTCATTTACAGGGTGGAGTGGATGATGAAGTGACCCTCTCTGCCTATATCACTATTGCCCTCCTGGAGATCCCTCTCCCAGTCACTGTAAGTATATCACCTCCTTCCCCTGCTAACACATAGTTCTGGATGCAGTGCAACTGCTGACCTGCTGTCTGAAATATCAGCCTACTAAAAGCCAATTGTCAGTTTTCCTTCTATGCAATAGTCATGCTTCCTAAAACAACAAAGAACTCGTTCAATCTGTGAAGAAAAATTTATACTTCCCCATTGATGCCCCTAGGGTATTTATCCCCTATCACCCTTGACCACAACTACACACACAAAATGAATTCTAAAGATATGTTCTAGGTGGCCTCCCTGGTGGCACACAGGGTTGGGTGCCACACTATGAAGCGGTCCACAGCCTCTTCAGCATGAGTTCAGTCCCTTGCTGGCCAGGGAGCAGCCCACATGGCACAGCAGACCTCTCCTGGCTTGCCTGCTGCTCCCCTCAGCAGTGTATTTCAGTCAATCTGCCTATTCTGCTCCCCACTCTGTCTCTGGTGAATCCTCTCACCTCCCACACCTCTGGCCTGTACCCCAGCTCTTGTATGCATAAATAAATAAATCTTTTAAAAAAAGATATGGCCTATATTTCTGCCTTATGAAGGTAAGAATAACAGGTAAAAAATACAATTCTCTTAATTTATAAGACTGGAGATAGATGGACAAATGCATTTGAAAAGCTTCTCTACCTCCTGCGCTATGATCTGGATGTTTACCTAGGATACCAGGCTCGCTGTTCACATAGCTCAGTTCCCTTCTTCTTCTCCCTGCACAGCACCCTATTGTCCGCAATGCCCTGTTCTGCCTGGAATCCGCCTGGAAATCAGCAAAGGAAGGACCCCATGGAAGTCATGTCTATACCAAGGCACTATTGGCCTATGTTTTTGCCCTGGCAGGTAACCAGGACAAGAGGGAGGAAGTACTCAAGTCACTTGATGAAGAAGCTGTGAAGGAAGGTGAGCATGCACCTGAGATCTTTCTCCCATGCCACAGTCTCTGTATCAAGAACAATACTGCCAAGATCCCCTACAACTACCTTCCGTGATGGCTTTCCCTCTCGTCTTTTGTCTGTAACATTATAAAAATCCAGGATTTCTTAATCAAGTCACACACCAACCAAAAGCTAAGAAAGATACTATGGTAAAGAAAAGCTTGGCTTCTGGTGACTAACTCCAAATGTATTACCTATATAACCCTGCGCAAGCCACTTACCTTTGTTTCAGTTCCTTCATCAGTAAAATGGGACTAACAATAGTATTTACCCTCATTTACTTCAGAGTATTAAATGAGTCGATACATAAAAAGCACTTACTAGAGTACATGGGAGAAAGTAAGTACTACAAAACTTCTATGGCAGCTATTTTGATTAAGATCTCACTTAAGGCAGCTCTTCCTGCCTGCTTGTGTCTGTGCAAGCGTCCTTTACTTTTCTTTCCCTTTTTATAATAAACCTGCCCTTTTGGATATTAAAAAAAAGATATTAAGAAACTTTGGAGTTCAGGTGGCGGAGAGGTGACTTATACACATATAGTAGTAAAGATAAGATATCCAGTAACATATTCTACCTTTCTTCCTTGAAAGTGCTGTTTTTTTTCAAATATATTGGGAATTATTTAAGATATTCAAAATAACATAAAGAATAAAGGCAAACACCTTTATCCTTCCGTTGGGCAAAAAAAATAAAATGTTACCAATACAAGAAAAATTCCCTGTGCACCATTCCCACTGCCAAAGGTAATCATGATCCTGAATCTGTCATTACAATTTCCATGAATTTCTTTATATTTTTACTATATACATATCCCTAATTACTATTCAGAATTTTTACATATTCTTCATCTTTAGATAAGAATCCTGGTTATTCCTTCATCTTGTTTTCTTGTCTGTCTTTTATTTTTTAAGTTCAACATTATGCTAACAGGCGTCCCTACATGGATGCCACCTGCAGTAGTTCATTCATTTTTCCCTGCTGCATGTCACAATATAGAAATAGGTCATAATTGACATAGGTCCTCATGGACCTTCTTGAATATCTGTTGCTTTTGCAAACCATGCTGCAATAAATACTCATGCACATGCTGCTTGTGCATGTGTGTGTTTCTCTAAGTTTACACTGTGAGAAGCATAATTCTGATAAGTAAGCTGAGCACCTCTACCCCTAGATAATGTCAAATTACTCCTTAAAGAATACTTTACTTCCCACAGCAATGTAAATCAGTTCCCATTATTTCACATCCTTGTCTGTCCTTGGTATTTTAGGAATTATTTTATTTTCCAATCCAATGAGTGTGAGCCCCATTATCTCATGTGACCTCTGACCCTCACGAGAAACTTCCAAAGATAAGATTTATAAAAAAAAATGTAACAAACACTAAGTAAGGTCTAGATAACATCAAAAATAAATTATCACAATTAATAAGAGCACTTATTCTGCTATTTCTCATGCTCATCAATTCAATTATAATAACCACCTGGAAACCTAGAGAGCAATGAGCTGCTGACTCCAGAAACACTATCTGCCTTAGATTGGTTGAAACAAACCAAGTCCAGATTTCCATAGAAACAAAAGCATCTAGACATGGTTCAGGAGAATGTGAATATATTCTCCTGAATACATGTAATTGGAATGCACCCTTACTTCAGTTTTGGCTTGGATACTTTCAACCTGAAACTGAATAAGACTATGTAGTCACTTATAAATCTCTTTTTCTTCCCTCCAGATAATTCCATCCACTGGACACGACCTCAGAAACCCAAGGCACCAATGGAGCCTTTTTACCAACCCCAGGCTCCCTCTGCTGAGGTGGAGATGACATCCTACGTGCTCCTTGCTTACCTCACAGCCCGGCCTGCCCCAACCTCAGAGGAGCTGACTACTGCCACCAACATCGTCAAGTGGATCACAAAGCAACAGAATTCCCATGGGGGCTTCTCCTCCACGCAGGTTTGTGGTTTGCCAGAACCTTTTATTTCACCCTCACGTAGCAGAAGGTTTGAATAAGATATAAACACACAGGAAGAAAAAATGAAGATGAGAATATCCTGAAATGAGGAAAATATTATTAGCACATAGGGACAATGAAAAAATAATGGAAAGTGAAAGATGGTTAAAAGGAAAAAGTCTAGAATTCTGACACCATCCCTGTCCCTTCTTTCTACTTACAACTCTACCTCCCTAAAACAATAGTCAGGAAACTAGGACCCTATACTCTAATGCCACAGGAGAATGAATTTTTAAAATTTACTACTCTCCTGTAAAATTGTAGGTCTAATAAGTTCTAATATGTACACAGACAATTTCATCTTCAGATAATTTAAAGGTCAGCATATATGCCCTAAAAGAGAAGAAAATATGGCAAAATGATATTCCTTTTTTTAATCCCTGTGTTTAGCCCCTTTTTCCAAATGAATGGAAAAACTGAATAATTTTCTTAAATCAGTTCTCATTCATTAGTTAGAAATCTATTATTTAAAGGCTGGCAGGTTCAATGTTGATAAGAACTGAGAACAAGGCACACCCAGGAAAATCCAAAGTTCCTGTGCAAAAGGGAGAGCCAAATAAAAATGTCAAAACAAGTCCAGAAGATAATTATAATCACTCATCTTTTATTTCCTCTGGAGAAATTGAAGCATGACGATGAGCATAGTTGCAAAGGATCTCAGGAGCATGGTTCTCCCGGGACACTGAGTTCAGCAGCTGAGGAGAGTTGAGTTTGGGTGAGAGCCAGATTGAACTTCGATTGGGTGGTAGCAGATATGACCACAGTTGTCAAGCAAATAGCTAATTTTCCACATGTATTTCAACAGAGAAAAAGAGTGATTTTCTGAGAAATAAAATAAACTTCTAGGATATTTAGTCCAAGTAAGCTAAGTGACTGCTATACTTATTTATTTACCTAAGGATTATAATTAATCTTGAAATTAGATTACATAGTGAGGGAAACAGAAAAATCAGAAATTAAAATCCCTTTCATGGCAGCTAACATGGGCTTTGGGTTCTCTGAGGGTCAGCACAGCTGAGCAGGTTTTCTTTCTTACTGCTTTCAGGACACAGTGGTAGCTCTCCAAGCTTTATCCAAATATGGAACAGTTACTTTCATCAGGACTGGGAAGGATGCACAGGTGACCATCGAATCCTCAGGAACATTTTCCACAAAATTCCAAGTAGACAACAACAACCGCCTGTTATTACAGCAGATTTCATTGCCAACGGTGCCTGAAGACTATCGTATCACCACGACAGGAGAAAGATGTGTCTACCTCCAGGTGAGAATCTTGGGGCAGAGGATCCACAATCCCATGCAAAGTGGTAACTCAGCAAATGACAGGAAAATCAGAGAAAGAACTGAGGAAGTTGGGAGACTTTCTGGAGATGGGAGAAACACAGACTTTTGCCTTTGATTTTCCACAGACATCCCTGAAATACAATATTCACCCAAGAGAAGAAAGTTTCCCATTTGCATTGGAGGTGCAGACTCAGCCCCAGACTTGTGATGAACCCAAAGCCCACACCAGCTTCCAAATATCACTGAATGTCAGGTAAGAGCTCTGACTGAATCACCTAATTCTGAGTATAACCACCAGTCTTCTTCCCGGAACACCTTAAGCTGAGCAGTGTGACTGTCAGTGTTTGTACTGCATTTATGACAAAGTGGTGTATTCTCATGTTGATACAGAATTTCTCAGTGATGGGGTTTACACTATACATGTCCTGCCCCCATTACTTTGGATCTCATTATTTAAAGACAATTCCCCTCAGTAATAATTTTAAAAAGAACATTACCCCTTGTCTCTGACCTAAAACCCTGATTTCATTCTAATGCAATGATTCTTCCTGATTCCATTCTACTGTAATGAAATCCTATATTATTCTCATTCTATCCATGACAGAAATGGAGAATACTTTAAAAGGGTGAATAGATGGAAGCAGTGCCTCTCCAGTTAGAAGTTCACAAAAGTCACAAAATCATCAGTTTGGGGGGAAAATATATGTGCAACAATGTTCAAATAGCTGTAGGGCTTACAAAAAAATGTTTTGTTCACAAGGCTATTATAACCTGGTTGGGGTTATTATACAGGAAAAAAGTTAAAATATATGTAACAAATAACTGGCAGAGATTAGAGGTCTCAAGCCCAACTGTGTCATATGTGGACCTTTTTTAAATCACTGTTCCTCAGTGTCCACACAGAGAAATTCTGATTTATCGGGTCTACAGTAGACCTGGTTTCTGTGCTGACAGGGTCCCTGAAGAAGATTCTAAAACGTGGTCAGTTTTCCAAACCCCTGGGTAGATATTTAGGATTCCCTTGTATGTTTATGGCCACTGAGAGCCTAACACAGACACATATAAAGAGAATATTTAGTAAAACAGAAAGCTCTAATTCCTTCCTTCCCTGGATCCTCAGTTACACTGGGAGCCGTCCTGACTCCAATATGGCGATTGTGGATGTGAAGATGGTATCTGGCTTCATTCCCCTAAAACCAACAGTGAAAATGGTAGGTGTAATATTAGCCTGAACATTTTATTTAATGTTTTATGTATCTCCAGACTAAGCCAATATTAATAAATCATCCAGTATCTAAGACTTACACAGATCATCCTCAACTTACAATGGAGTTATATACCAACAAACCTACCATAAACTGGATATAACAGTCAGAAAAGCATTTAATATACCTAATCTACCAAACATAACACTCAGACTAGCTTAAGTGTGCTCCAAGCACTTATATTAGCTTGTGGTTAGGGGAAATCACCTAACACAAAGCTTATTTTATAATAAAGTATTGAATATTTCATGTGATTTATTGACTAATGCCAGTGAAAAGAAGAATTGTTTTTTAGCCTTGGGATCACATGGTTGAGTGGGATTTGTGGCTCAATACAACTACCCAGCAACACAAGCCTACCATTAAGGTCAAGAAAAGATCAAAATTCTAAATTTGAAATACAATTTCTACTGAATGTCTAGCACTTTCACACCATGATGAAGTCAAAAAATAGTACATCAAACCATCCTAGAGACTGTCTGTACTTTTTACAAACTCAGAAGTGTAATTTAGCATGTTTATATGAGTTTGTTTTACTATGTCACAAAATTCTGTAACAGATTTTTTGGTCAAGTTGTTTCCATCCAAAAAAGCCCCAAAAACCTGATTTTAAAAATTATTAACTTAAAACCACCACATGTAACTAACAAATGGTCCACAAAATATTCTCCATTCTGGCTGAACATTTTTCAATGCATTGTTATCATTCACCAGTCTCTTACTATTAAACTTAAATGGCCAACTGAGGCAGTTTTGAGACTGTCCCTCTACTCCTGATTAGGACTGGAGTAACAGATATTACAGATACAATTCACTTAGTTTTCTGAGTTTTTTGGGTAGACGTGGTAGTGGCTTGCCAATTCTAGCAGCTTTCTGGTCAGCCTTGCTCATACGTACAGTAACCATCTGTCTTATGTCACAAACAGTACTCTTCTAGGAGACACATCTATCAAGGACAAAAAGTCAACAGGTTCCTGCATTCATGGAGTTTTTAATCTTAAGATAAAACATATCCATATGAACAATTAGGGGAAAAAATGAAAATGGCTAACTGACATAAACTATAAGTATCACAGAAATTCAGAGAAAAGTAAGATTGGTCTAAGTTAGAACAAGCCAAAATAACAAAACAAGCCACTTTATATGAAGGGACATAATGTGAAGCCTTGAAATATGGGTAATTCCCAAGTTGAAAATATTTAGTTCCTTTTTCTCCAAATAAATCAATTTTACTATGATACTAATACCACAGTATATTAGCATCATGCTGGTATTAGTATGTCATACTAATAAGAACCCCTGCATCCTGATTACATTTCAATTTTAACACATTATATTAACTTTATCACATTATATTAACTTAAAAAATGGGAGATTTTATCCTTAGGCTTAATTTGGTAATAAAAATTCTTCTTTCCTCTAGTTTCTCTAGGGGTTTTGTTTATTAATATTTGTGATATCTTTATTCTCCTTCAGCTTGAAAAAGCTAACCATGTGAGTCGAACAGAAGTCAGCAACAACCATGTTTTGATTTATCTTGATAAGGTGAGAAACCCTGCCTCTAGCTGCAAAATATACAGATAATAATCTCTCGCAGGGAGCTATCTGAATGAAGGCATCTGGAGATAACGTCATGCTAAAAATTTGAGAGTTCTATTATTAATTCCAGTAACTGTTCTTTTTCATCTATATTTATATTTCATCTGGGACTATCAGAAGAAAAGACTTATTGTGGTATAGGAATATTTCTAGGACTCCATTAGTGATAAGTTCTCTACAAATGTTCACAAGTTATTTTGAAAGTACTGAGTAATGTAAAGAAGTAACCAGTGGGATGTCAATTTTATCAGCATCCCATCAATAATATAAGACTGGAAAATACTGCCAATCCCAGCAAGGACTTGGTTCATAAAACAATAAGATCAGTTCCACAATAAACCAATATGATGTCACAGTTATAAAATATAGCATAGTTTATTCGTTCATATATGAATAGATAGTATAGTTTACAAATTTTACAAAACTTAAACAAGGCTACAATGATCAACCTTTTTTAACCCCTTTTTGAGTCAACACAAGTATTTCTACTAGAGAAGTGAAACCGCGGTAAATCTCTATTTAAAAATAAATATAGCAATTCAATCAGTAATAAACATGTATCATTCACCGCCTGTGGGCAGTTTTGCATTGGCATTGATGGGTGTATAGTTAGTTAAGAAACAATTTGGGAGAGTTTTCGTCCACTTTGAGAGCTTTCAGTACAACTGAAGAATCCTGCTGGTTGATTATTAAAAATTTTTATCAACCAGAAGAATTCTTAAAGAAGAGAGAAGAAACTCCCTCGAAGGTCGTTAATTCCCTTGTGCTTTCTAGGTAACAAATCAGACACAGAGCTTATCCTTCACGGTTCTGCAAGACATCCCAGTGAGGGATCTGAAACCAGCCATAGTGAAAGTCTATGATTACTATGAGACAGGTGAGTATGAGCAACTTTCTCACAGAAATTAAATTCCTGATTGCAGAAATTAGAGTTGAGAAATGTGTTGGGGCAATGTATTATAACTGTTCTTAATTGTTTTATATTAAGTCTGATTCTCTTTGTCTTCTATACACACATTGTAGAATCAACTATAGCATAAACCTACCAACTACTAATACAAAGCACCTATAGCATATCTAATTCCCTTTTCTTCATATAAATCAACTGCAGGACAATGTGAGATTCAAATAAATGAACTGTCCTTCAGGAATTTAGGGTAACAGGAAAAATAACCATTTAATTTAAAACTGTTGTTAATTTGAAAAGATAACATAAAGCAGGAAGCAATACATTGCTAAATGATGCTGATGTTTCCAATAGTTCTTCCCATAATATTCTTTCACTGACCTGTAAACCACAAATGTGTGCTTTCACTTTCATTTCACTTAATGATTTTTGTTTTTTCTCAGATGAATTTGCAATTGCCGAGTATAATGCTCCTTGCAGCAAAGGTAAGCAATCCATCCTCTTTCCAAATGCAGTCAGAACCCTTCAAATCTCCTCCATAAAATTTGGGCTAAATATTTTTCAGAGATATATTATTCACAGTGCAACTTATCATAGAAAAATGAACTTACTGAAAGAGGACCACTGATAGTCAAATCTTAGTTAATAGAATTGGTTTTCAGGTAATTTAAAGTAATGGATATCATTTTCCACTATACTATTTGGGTTTCCTTACACATCATGCTACCCAGATCTAGTGGAAGGAATATTTACTCCTCAATAAATCAAAGTTCATCTTAACTTTCTTTTCTTTTCACTATCATAGATCATGGAAATGCTTGAAGATTACATCAATAAAAATAGCTTTGCTATTTTTACAGACTCACCATTCCATGGAAGAAAAAGTACTGTTTCACAGACTCACCATTCCATGGAAAAAAAGTTTTGTATCTCTTAAGATTTTATGAATAAACCTTTTTTTCTGGTCAATTTCCATCACCATTTCTTCATTCATTCAATAAATATTATATATCCATATGATTTCCCAGTAGAATTCTGGCATTAAAATTCATAGCAGGGCCTCCTTGGTGGCACAGCAGTTGAGCGCTGGGTTGCGAAGCTGCCCACAGACTCTGCAACGCCAGTTCGATCCCCGGCCACCAGCGAGGGTCCCACATGGCGCAACAGACCTCTCTTGCCGTGCCCGCTGCTCCCCTCAGCAGTGTATTTTGTCAGTCTGCCTGTTCTGTTCCCCGCTCTGGCTCTGGTGAATTCTCTCACCCTCCCGCACTTCTGACTGTACCCAGTGCTTGCATAAATAAATAAATAGAATAAAATAAAATAAATTCATAGCAATCAAGAGGTAAGATTTCAGAAAATGAAAAATGTTATAGTGGTGTATGTAGTGGGTTCCATGTAGGAGTTCCATGTCGGGGTTGTTGGGTTCCATGGAAGGGTTCCATGTAGTGGTTCCGTGTAGAGGTTGTTGGAAAAAGAAGAAAATTTTATTATGTACTAAGAGAGTGTAAATATGTTCGTCTATGGAAAAAACCTTTTAAAAGGCAAAGGTGGGTCTCCCTAGTGGTTCAAGGGTTAAAGTTTCAGTGTCATCAAGCTATAGCCAGCCACTGCTGCATGGGTTCAATCCCCGAATGCCCAGCCAGGAAGCTAACCCACATGGCAAAGTGGGTTAGCTCTCTCCTGTCTCACCACTGCTCCCCTCAACAGTGTATTTCAGTAGATCTGCCTGTTCTGTACCCCACTTTGTCTCTGGTGAATCCTTTCACCCCCTGCACTTCTGGCCTATACCTCAGTTCTTGTATACATTAATAAAACAAATAAAGCTAAATCTTTGGAAGCCAGCACAATGAATTGGTAGCACAATAAATTGTTCTGAACTGGGAGTTATGTGTCCTCAGACAGTAGGCAATAGAATGACATTTAAAATGTTCAAATTAGGGCCTCCCCTGGTGGCACAACGGTTGAGCGCTGGGCTGCGAAGCTGCCCACAGCCTCTTCAGCGCCTTTCGATCCCTGGCCACCAGCGAGGGTCCCACATGGCGTGACAGACCTCTCCTGCCGCGCACACTGCTCCCCTCAGCAGTGTACCTCGGTCCTTCTGCCTGTTCTGCTCCCTGCTCTGGCTCTGGTGAACCTCTTACCCTCCCGCGCTTCTGACTGTACCCAGTGCTTGTATAAATAAATAAATAAATCTTTTTAAAAATAAATAAATAAAAATAAAATGTTCAAAGTAAATAAATATCAATTAAGAATTCTACATACAGGAAAACTATGAAGAATGAAGGAGAAATTAAAATATTTACAGAAAAACAAAGCAAAGGGAGTCCATTACTAGTAGAACAATCTTATAAGAAATGCTAAAGACATTACCCAATTGGACACTATCCAATGATAAGATGCCATATGAATCAACAAAAACAATGATAAAGAATGATAAAAATTAATGTAACTATATAAATACAAAAATCGGTTTTATCATACTTCTGGTTTGTAACTCCTTTTTCTTTTCTACATGATTTTTAAAAGTCAAATGCATAAAATAATTTAAATTTATGCTAACAGGCACACAATGTAAAAAGATATCATCTATAAAAATAGCAATATAAGTGAGGAAGATAAGTATAGAAACTGGGTACCACTGAAACTAAATTACTATTATTCAAAATAGGTCATATAGTTTCAAGTTGTTAATTACAATTCTCAAAGCAGCCATCAAGAAAATAACAATTGACAGAAACTACATGGAAAGGAAAAAAATACGGGAATTGAAATGGTGCACTACAAAAAAAAACAAATAAATACAAAATAAACACTAATGGATTACTTAAGGAACAAACCCATCTACAGAATACAGAAACAAAATGACAGAAATCTTCCTTTACTAGTAGTTACTTTGAAATATAAATGTAGTAGTTACTTGAAATATAAACTCTATTATTAAAGAGGAAGTACTTGGCAAAATGGATGAGAAACACATAAGCCATCTATATATTCTCTACAAAAGATTTTGTTATCATCGAAGCATTTCTGGGAGAGATTATTACTAGCAAAGGAAAGATCTGTCTTATATACATTTCAATGCTAAGAACCTGAAAGAAAACTCATCATTACCCTTCCAGGATGGAGCCTGGACTGCAAACTCATCCCACTCATGAGCATCCCACAGCTCACTTGGCCTTTGCTTGATGATGTTACAGAGAAATAGATGCTTTAACTCATACAATGCCAGAAAGTTTAAATTGGCAAGTCCATCTGAAAACACTCACTGACTCAACAAATCCGTGTGATATATTAATGAGTACATGTACACAACAGAGTACAAACAGGATATTTATCTAAAACCTCCAAGAAAAATCACAGGACTTGAACAGCTACAATTGTGATTTTTAACTTTTTTATATATTTTATTTTTTTATTTTATATAATTCTTTCATCATTTTTCATTTTTGCACAATGTATGCATTTTCATTTTGGTTCTATTCCCCATACAATTCCCACCCCCCTTATTCTGACCCTAATCCCTCCTTTCCTCCACCCCCCCCACCCATAGTGTGTCTCTGGTTTATAGTTGCTTGTTGATTTTGATTTTTTCTTTATTATAATTAGTCTTTTTGCTGGTCCCTTATTTAGGTTTTCTAAATTCCTGCTATGAGTGAGACCATCCAGTATTTTTCTTTTTCTTTCTGGCTTATTTCAACAGCCACAACTTTATTTTTTTTAATATTTTATTTTATATAATTCTTACATCATTTTTCATTTTTGCACAATGTATGCATTATCATTTTGCCTATATTTCCCACACAATTTCACCCCCCTTATTTTGACCCTAGTCCTTCCTCTCCCCTTCCCCCCCCCCCCAGTAGTGTGTCTCTAATTTATAGTTGCTTGTTGACTCTGATTTTTACTTTGTATTAATGAGTCTTTTTCCTGGTCCCTTGCAAACACAAAATCGGAGGCCTATACAACCTGATTTGAAGACTTACCGTGAAAAAGGGAGCTATGTGAATAAGCAGGCCCGCAGGGCACCTGGAGCCCACCCACAGCCCAGCCGCGCAGGGGCGCAGCCAAGGGCCTCAGGCCCACGGGGAAGTGGCCCTACCTGGGTGTAGACGGGAGATCCACCGGGGAGTCGCTTCACGCTTCTTCGCGTCTTGCTTCCTCGCACATGGGCTTCAGGAACTGAGCACAGGTGCAGCCCAGGACCTTCTGGACTCTTCTCCTGTCACCTGCTCCATGACTTAGCCGATACAGGGCGGGGCCTACCTCCGGGCTGGCTGCAATATGGGCGGGGCTGGGCGGAAGTGGAGACCAAAGCTCCGCGCCGCTGGGCAGCAACAGGGCAGCATCCCGCTGCTTAGCAAAATATGGGCAGTCCAGGCCCTGCTGGCCACGCCCAGGGTGCGGCTTAAAGGTAACTTCCTTGCTGTCTCCTGCTGCACATTATCTGCCCCGGGTCTGGAAACTGAGTCCCTGAAAACCTAACAATTAGATTTATCATACGCCCTTGTGATGGGCAGGAATGGGCACAGAGCAGGTGTTCTATGATTCCAGCAGACGGTGTAAAGGAGGAGAGAGTCCTGGAGACCTTGGTGGCTTTTGCAGGCTTTTATTGGGATTTACCAGGTACACAGCAGGCAGGGATATGGGCCTCCCAGCTCCCAGCAAGCCTTCACTGTATCTGGGCTCACCAGCCTTCTCCTGTGGCCTGTGGCCTGTGGCCTGTGGCCTCTGCTTCTCTGCTCCTCTGCTCTTCTCGTGGTTCTGCTGGCGTCCTCGTGATGCCGCTCTTATAAGCTCAGTCTCTCAGCCCAGGTGTACCCACTTGCGCATGCCCACACCCCACTGTCCGCCATCAGGCGTGCATTCAGGACCGCAGGGATCCAGCATCAATCCTAATGGCGGGAGGGCAGAAAAACCTGATACTTTTTCACTTACCCTACAGCCCTTCTCTGCGTTAAGTCAAAAGGAGAGCGCCTCCCTACTACACCCAACCTGAGTTTGTCTCAGTGCACCTGTATTGGACTAGCTACTATCCTTTCTAAAGACTGTATTTTTTTTAAGATTTATTTATTTATGCATACAAGAGCTGGGGCAAGGCCAGAGATGTGGGGAGTGAGAGGATTCACCACAGAGCGGGGAACAGAACAGGCTGATCTATTGAAATACACTGCTGAGGGGAGCAGCAGGGGAGACAGGAGAGGTCTGCTGCACCATGTGGATTGCTCCCTGGCTGGCCAGGGATCAAACTTGTGCTGCAGAAGCTGCGGATTGCTTCATAGTGCAATGCTTAACCCCTTGCGCCACCAGGGAGGCCCTGAAGACTGTATTTTAACAGCTCCTTTATAGTATAAAATTGGCATAATATTCCTAATAACTTAAATTTATTCACATGTAATTGAAGGGTACTGACATAAATCCATTGGAGAAGCAGTTTCAGGATTTACTTGCTCTGCATCACAGTCTTTCCCAGTGGTTTGGTTCATCTTCATATGTAAGTCCAGTTTTGAAAGATGAATGTTATTGGGGGGACTGTTAACTGAAGATCAGTAAGTGCTACTTACTTGAAGAGTTCTTTTTTATTTATCAAATGTTTTATTTTTATTGCTGTATCATTGTTTTGCAACTGTTGTATATGATTTAGAAGTGTAGGATCACACTTTTCAGAAGTTGTTACACCACACCCACCATCAAGGTGGGTACCCATAATCCGCCATCATACTCCATCTGGCCCCCTTCCCATTTTGTTCTTGCGCCTCCCTCTGCCTCCATTACCCTCAGTTCTACAGTCAGATTTCTAGGGCTTGTTACTGGTTTGGTTTTATCTGAACTGTTTTTTTTTTTTTCCTATAGTGCTCATATAAGTGACACCATCCAATATGTGTCTGTCTT